AAAATAAGAAGCACTGCTGGCACCACGGCTGTCCCCACTACCACTGTTCCTCAGTCCAGAACCAGAAGCACCACAGGTGTTATTGAAATTGTTTCTTCTACTGTAGAAAGTGTGTCTACCACTGTTTTTCCCAGAACTTTTAGCCCCACAGTCAGTCCAGGTATGTCATTGTCTACCTCTTTAAGGTTTATTTCCCATTTTTTCTTTGGAACGACATTTGTGTCACTTTGGTCTTTTACTTCTGCCCCTAAGTGAATCTGTGATTGTATGATTCTGTCACCATATCTATTTCTTGAAACACATAAACGAATTTTTAATCAATCTGCCCCTCTGCCTCTAATATCTCTGTTAGACAACTCAGCTTCATAATATTAATCCTTAATTCAGGGCAGAAAGTGGTGATATTGAAACTTTTGAAAACTTTAGAGCTAAATGTCATAAGAGTTGCCAAATGCCACACAATATTCAATGTATAACTAAAAAATTTTCACAATCTCCACTTATGAATAGGTCAAGTATTTGGATGCAACAAAATGTTCACTCATTTTGTCAGAAATTTGAAAAGACCTCTTGAATGTATTAAAATTCTTATATAAAAATCCTGTGCTGCAAATTAAATTAAATTATTATTTGTATTTAACAGTTGCTACAACTGCTACATCACAGTCAAGTCATATTACAACAAGCACTTCTGCAATATTCAGTTCTTCCACCAGCACATCTGTGACAACAGAAGCCAGTACCCATGCTGCGTCCAGCAGAGTAACTCCATGCTTTTGTCATGTGTTTGATACTTTATTTTCTCCTGGTAAGTGTCTTATCTTTCGATGATAAAAATTTTTATAAGCAATATAAACCCTTAAGGCACTATTCAATTAAGGATAACCACTCAAAATAATCTAAACATAGAACTTTTCATAGATGAACACACTGTATATTTTCACAGTATTTTCCTGGTTTTTCTCCCTAAGTATTTTCATTTGTCTTGTAATTTCTCCTCCAATTTTCCTCTACAGGCGAAGTGGTATACAACAGAACAGACAGAGCTGGCTGTAATTTTTATGCAATTTGCAGCAAAGAATGTGAAATTGAGCCATTCCATGGGCCGTGTCCTTTGACAACTCTTGTCCCTTCAGTCGCTTCAACAACTACAACACAAGGCACCTCATCCACAGATCACGTATTGTCTTCCGCCTCCCCAACCACAGCAACATCCCTCACAACTTCAGCAGAAAGAAACTGTACTGATGTCAATCCTCCACGAAAGGTGGTTCCCCTCCTTACTTTCTAATATATCACTGTTGCAAAACCAGCACAATTTCTGTCCTCTAATAGCCAATTCAAATCAACCTCTATGTATTTCAATAAGGAAGTTCGCTGTGTAACAAATGACCTGATAACACACAATTCTTTAACTTGGTATTACCAGGTTATTTTAAGTAATCTGTAGGTGGAAAAGCTCACTAAGACCATGGCAGACCATTTGTTTTTAATAAAAGACATTTAAATGTCATAGAAATAAGCAGACTATCTATGAAAAGTAAAGTATATTTCTTTTTATGCAGAAGAAAATTGTTCTCAGCATTCCTGCTCTTAATAGTATGCTAAGAAAACTCTAATCTGAACTTCCCACCAATTTCGAGTCTATCTTAAGCTGAAACAAAACAACTAGGGCTAGAAAGAGCATTTGAGAATAAATCATTTACATATTTTCAGCCTGGAGAGAGCTGGATAAGTGAATGCCAGAAGTGTGTCTGTGACTCCCTCACTGCTACTGTGCAATGCCAGCCTCTCCCATGCCAAACAACAAAGGAAACAACTTGTGACCTAGGATTTGTCTCCATGGTTGTACTACCACAAAAAGACCCATGTTGTCCTGAATTTAAATGCCGTAAGTATTAAAAATACATATATAAACACCACACTACACATTCCAATAAATTACATTTGCACTTCTATTGATACCTAAGGAAGTTCTTCATGTATCACAATAATAGCAAAACCTTAAGTTGTTCTGTCTCAGTGAACACACATCAATTTTTGGCTAAATGTGCATTAGATCTTTATTTAAAAACAAAATGTTATTTCCAATTAACTTCGATGAAAGAATGGGTGGGATAGCAAGATAATACTTTGAACGTTCATGAAGTCTATATAGCTCAACTATCACTGCATCTGTAATCATAAAGGTTGTCAATGCATTTTTTTAAATGTTATTAATGTAACGTTGGAGCATATTAACATTAGCCCAGCTGCAGCTAAACTAAGATGCATAAACATAAGAATAACACAGCAAAAAGCTTAACAATTAACTACAAGAGCAAGTAACAGGAAGCAATAATACAAATTGAGGCATTATCAGTAACTGAATTGCCAATGTATAAAAAAAAATAATTATACTTACAATGTCGTTGAATGCTCATGAAAATTTAAAAATCCTACAGCTATACAAGTTTATTTATATACATACATTTTTATATACATATACGTGTGCAAAAGAATAAAAAGAAAAAAGTACCCATAAATTAAGCTTGAAACAGGAAAGTCAAAACAAAGGAACAGGCAAGTTTGAAGTGGTTCTGTGAAAGACACTCTTTTTCGACTCAGAGTCAGTATTCCATCCAACCACATTCTGAGAGAATCAGTAACTAAAGCATCTTTGAATATTATTGGACTGGACTTCTAAGGTTCAAAGAGGAAGCAACTAATTTAATTTGAAGTGAATCAGATATTGAAAGGGCAAAAAAGGGATTTTTCATGAATAGCTTGAGTTTGAAGCCATTCCTCACCAACTCTTCTAGGTAATCTCAATGACAAAACTTTACTTAAACATCCACTGCCTATGAGGTCTAAGCATGTAGGAGGGTTGAATTCAAGTTTTCCATACTCTCTGTGTTACTAACAAAACTTGATAACATCTTGACTTCTCAGGAAGTCTCACAAGTTGAGTTTACTCTGGAATAATTTTTTGTTTTGTTTTTCAGAACCAGTACCTGATGTCTGTGTGATTAATGGTACATTGTACACGGTGAGAATGTTATAGCATTGTATAGTATATTGCTGGAAGTGGAAAGTACATCCTTTCTACCAAAATAAGTCTTTGAGAAAGTTCTTTTCCCAGCACATATGGGTTTTTTATCTCTCACACTTAACTGGGAGGTTTTCAGTCTTTTTAATGTCAAAAACAAATTGATCCCAGAAATGTTCCACAACGTGTAGCAGAAGAGTGTACTATTTTTAGTGCTGTACTTTCTTTTTTAAGCTCCCTCCTGCTTCTGGAACTAATGAATTTCCCAAACAATCTGATGAATAGTGCAAACTCAATGAAATAAGCACAGAGAACCTTAAAAAAACAAAGCTAGCATTTTTGCTTTAATTGATACCCTAAACCTTTTTGCTAAAATTGGTACTTAGGTCATTAACTCAAAACTGAAGCATTAGCATTGGAGCCTTTGGGGATCCATTTCAAAAGACTAAAATCCATGTGTAAAGTTGTACCTCTACTTATGTATATGCTTATTTTAATCTCCATTTTCAAATTACAAGTGTTTTACAACCACTGAACATGACTTGTAGAGAAAAAATATTCTTAAATGGAGCATTGAAAAGCTGGGAAAATAATGAGACAGTATAAACTAGTCTTACCTTCATTTTATTAATTTACTCTTCTTTTTTACATTGCTTCATTTAGTTTCCTCTTACTGTGTGCTTTCCTGCAAGGCTTGAAGCCAAACAACTCAGGAGCACTTGGATTTCAGCAACCTTAATGGTTCTCAGCAATGCGTTCAACTCTGCCTATATATTATATGGAAACTGTTGCCATTTAAATGTTGGGTGTTTTTTTTCGTCTTCCAGGTTGGAAAGTCAGTAGTAATCGATTCATGTAAGAAATGTACCTGCAGTTCCGAGAAAGATCCAGTGACTAATGCTAACACTGTGCATTGTGAAGCGGTTCAGTGTGAAACATCTTGCCCACTGGTGAGTTCAGATGCTCTAGGCTGCCCAGTCAGCCCTCAGTTACAGCAAGACTAGAATTCTCCATCACCAATTCAATATACTTTCTTTTTCATCTCCTTATGAGTAGGGTTATCAATACATGACTGAGGAAGGAAAGTGCTGTGGGAAGTGTATCGAAGTAGCTTGCAAAGTCAAACTAAGTAACAACACTGTTCACGTACTCAATGTAAGTATTCCTTTCAATTTCAGATCTCTCTGTTAGCTGATATAACAGCTAAGAGTCAATTTATGTCCCTTACTAGTAAGAATATAATACTGAAATTACTCTGAAAACAACACACCAGCTTTCTGAACTGAACACTTACTTGGAACGACAAATTCTTGCTATGTGTGGTTAATGGGGCAATGATTTCTAATTTGGGGTCTGAGTGTTCAGATCCAGGATTTAAACTTTCAAGTTAGCTGCAGTTTGCAGAATTTCATTTTTGGCACTTGAAAGAACTTCAGAAGCATCTAAGAACCTCTGAGGTATGAGAACTTAATTAGCTCTGACATACTTGATGACAATGAAAAAAAACTTTTGCTTTTCTTATAAAATCTTAGGTTAATGAGATCCTGCCACTTGACCAATGCAGCCATTACAAATGTGAAAAAATCGAAGATCAGTTTGTTGCAGTCCAAAGTAAGAGAGTATGCCCTGACTACGAGCCCGGAGAGTGCGATCCTGTAAGTTTTAATCAATTCTTCACTGATTGAACGCAGTTCAAAAGAGCAAGGAGGGACAACGAAGAATACAACAAATTAGTTTCACTGAAGTTGCAGGAATGTCTTAAGAATGACATTAGTCTTGCTGTAACATTAGTAATAAAAAAGGCTTAGTATTTTTTTATGAGGCTACAAGGATTCAAGATTTCTATGGTGAGGACAGCAAGTCATTCACTGTTTCATTTAGGGTTCATCACAGAGGAGCTTTCTGCCCAGTATCAATACTGCTAACTCATATTCTTACTCATGATTGTCATCCATGCACTAATACAAATCCTCCTTTACTTTTACAAAGGATGAAACAGAGACTACGTCCGATGGCTGCTGCAAAATATGTAAACGTAAGTAATGCTGTGTTTATGTGTTCTACTTAAAGAGGATTGTGTTCAACTTCTAACTATCTTTGAGTGGATGGAAGGATTCTTCACTCCCCCTGTTTTCACATATTCTATATATGAAGACCCTGTGTTTCACTATTTATTCAAAAGAAAAACGCAGATTTGTTTTCCTGATACTTAATATCACAAATCAAACCAGCAATGCTCAGGCCTCTGCATTATTTTCCAAAGACACTTTTAGAGTTGAAATCAAAGAATAATCTGAAAACTCCAGATACCTTACACAGCACCCACTCCCCACCCCATCACATACTGCCGATTCTCAATAATCAAACATTGTGCACTTTGAAACTGTGTTAGCATTCCTTTAGTCCTGAACTAGAGATCTGAAATATACTTTCCCCTCTTCTTTTTATGAAGCTGCAAAATGTAAGCCTTACAGCAAGAAAACTGTGATCCGCCATGCTGGCTGTGAGTCTTCTGAACCTGTTGAGCTGTCATATTGTGAAGGAAATTGTCCTGGCTCCTCAGTGTAAGTTCTAAAGATTAATTAAACATCTCTATGGCTTCATTTATACTTTACTGGTCTCTCACAAGGAGGCTCATGGGAGACCTTACTGCTCTCCACAACTACCTGAAAGGAGGTTGTAGTGAGATGAGGAGTTGCACCAGGGGAGCTTTAGATTGGATATTAAGAAAAATTTCTGCACTGAAAGGGTTGTCAAGCATCAGAACAGGCTGCCCAGGGAAGTGATATTTAAAAGACATGCAGATGTGGCACTTCAGGACATGGTTTAGTGGTGGACTTGGCAGTACTGGGTTAATGGTTGGACTTGATCTGAAAGGTCTGTTCCAACCTACATGATTCTGTGATCACAGAATAGCAACAAAGTTAATGTGTTTATATGATTCCATTGAATTGAATCAGATTCAAGTAATTAAAATCACATTCATAAGTGTGTCTGAGAGGGAGGAAAAGAGGATGTATAAAAAAACAAAAACCAAACCAAATACCCCCAAAAGAAAAGTCACTGAGCAGGTTCTGTGTGTCAGTTTTTACTAGATGTTTTTTTTTTCCCGGTGGAACACAGGTATTCTCTTGAAGCAAACCAGATGCAACATGAGTGTGGCTGCTGCCAAGAGTTCAGCACCCAAACGAGAGAGGTGACCCTGACTTGCCAAAATGGAACAAGCATAAATTATAACTATGTATATGTGGAAAAATGCCAGTGTACGAATGGTTGCTCTTCACAAACCTCTGCATCACAAGACTCCCAAACACAACAATCTGAAGAATACAGCTCCCAGTTGCAACAGGCTGCAGCATTTGATTCCCAATGGCAAATCAGCACAAGTAATAAGATATATCGTTGAAAAAAGAAAGCAGAGAACCCTAGGGAAGCTGAAATCATGTCTTCCCTAGAGTAACTTGCGCTCCTTCTTTAACAGATCTTATGTCAAGTTCTGTTATCACCTTTTCTCATTTCTTACTTGTAAAAAAAAAATAAAAAAAAAAGCAAATAATTACATTGTAGTGTTTGGATTTTTTTTCAGTGATACAGTATTGAAGGGTAAAACAAATGAGCGTGGAAAATACCTTGTGAAAATTAAATATGCAAACACATTTCTACTTGATCACAAAACTGTTATTTTCTGAAAAAAGAAAAGGATTAAGGGGTCTCTAAAAAATAAAACCAGAAAACATTGCAGCTACATTGTATTTCCTGTCCCTAGTGAAAGCTTTACTGCATAACATTTTTATAGATTTAATGGTCCTAACACATCACAGTGACAGGGACAAAGCTGTTTTCTTTTATTTGATCAATAAAACTTTCAGCATTTTTCAATTTCGGTGACTGTCTGATACCCATCTTCATTATCTAAATGAGAGTCCAATGGCATCAGGAAGTTTTCTAAGTCAGATGAGTATGTTCTCTAGCAGCCTCTGGGAATGAAGACACTCTCAAAGCCCTTTTCCTGGATGACTTAAAATTCACTCACTCAGGTCTAAATAGCTCTTTCCACCAGCATAAAAGGTACAAAGATGAAAAAGAACCCCTCTCATGTGCTGCGCCAAGAGGGTGGGATAGCAGGCAGGTGTAGTAATAAATGAAGAGTTCCAGAAAACAAGTATAAAAAAAAGAGGAAGGGAAAACAGTATTCATCACTATCATTTCATGCTTAGATCAAAAGGTATTTAACTGGAGAAATCAGCACTTGCTCCTTCAGCTGAAGAAACAAATCTATATACATACTGAAGTCAATGAACTTAGTAAAATGAGAAAATTCTTCTGCCTATAATTTTAACAATATTCAAAAACAAGTTCAGGATGTATTTTTAAACTGTGTGTTTGTTTCCTGTATGATCTAAAAGATTTTGAATGGATTTACACTAGGGAGGAAACTGGCTGCCTTTTCCCCACAGTAGTTCACCATGTTTACCTGAGCTGTTTGGAGCATTTACCTTATCAGTAGCTGTTACAATACAAAGCCTGAAATCTGCCATGAAGGCTTGGCTGAAAAATAGAGGAGCTCTTTGATCAAATAGTTGCATATTTTTCGCATGCTTACTTAGAGGCAAAATTCAATCCCTGAATGAAATCAGTAGAGCCCTATCTATTGGCCTTCACAGGCATGATCTGATACCATATCAGGATTAACCAGTGGGGAGAAGTAGATAGGGTTGTAAGCTTTGCATTAAGTCTTGCAGGGCATGATCAGCCATCAGAGATCAATTAATTATATTAGTACATAAAAGTATTTTTTAATTTTAAATTTCCAAATTAGAGGATGTAGGGACTATTTCTCAAAGCTGAACACCACATTATCTCCAGGTAGCTGATTGGTTACCTATGAGTGTAATTTGAAGATGCCATTGCAACACTCAGTGATCACTGCATTCATTAAAAATAAATAAATAAATAAAATTCAGCACCATAACTCCCCATTTAGAAGAAATAATCTTGATTAGTGGAATTTTGGGGGGTTGGGTTGTTTGTTTTGGTTGGGTTCTTTTTGCTTTGAAAACCAGCCTACTGCAAAATGCTAGAAACCACTGAATTGTCTCTGCTTTAAAATACAGCTTCCAATTTTTTTAAAGAAAATCTATTTTTGTACTTTTTTTTCTCTCAGGCCTACACAGAAGAAAACACAAGGGATTTGCACTTTCAGTAAACAGGATTAGGAGAAAACAATAATTTCAATTTCTCTTTTGAGCAAATGCTATAATGCAATTACAATTCCAAGGAATCTCTGGTAATTACATGAAAGCAAAGAAATTAGCTAAAAAGGAAAACATGAAGACATACATTTGTTTGATATCAAGAAGATACTATTTATATTAAAATATGTCTACTTATTGTGTACTATATCAAGCTATTTTAACTTGAAATTATAAAATGCATGTATGTCTTAATTTTATAGGAAAATTTCCAAATATGTTAAATATACAATCATAGCATCAGAAAAATTCTGAACTACAGATTAATAGTATTTAAAACAAAAAACAACATATAACATGAATCCTGAATGCTCTATAATCAGTAAGTGCTGTCTTTTTATCCTACATTTACCATAATCAAATATACTGATGCTTCACTAAAAATTACCACAGAAAAGTATTTACATTTATCAGGAAACAGAACACTCCTTTTTCTATTCCACTAAGTAGACGATTGCAGGAACTACTGCATTAGGGAATGTTATGTAGCAATATGCATATGTGTGGTGGAACTACCCACGTAGTGATTTACTGATGTGTTGACATAATGTCTCTTAAACAATTCTGTTGATCGTACTAAGAATCTTATTAAATTGTTCATTATTGTTCATTGAATAAAATGTCCCATTGCAAATAAAATTATTTACAGGTTTTATCATCTGATAATCTTAAACTAGACAAATATGAAGGTTATGCTACTGTTCTGTAAAAGTCAGTGCCATTTGTGGAACTGTGGTGCTTAACCACAAGAGATATTTGTTAACTTTTAAATTAATATCAATAATATATAAACCCAGATGTCATTAGTTCATCAGCTGGAGAACAGAATTTAGTATCCCTGAACAAAATAAATTGGGTAACATACCTATACAACATTCATAAGCAGGGCCCTTTACCTTCCAATCCAAATCATGACCTGTGCTTCCTCTAGCCTTTCCAAACAAAATACCAACAACACTCAATCAGGTACTGGACTGGAAATATGCCAGATAGACTAAAAGTAATTTGAAAGACTAAACAAAATCAATTACTCTGTAAACTGGGAAATAATAGCTCCAAATTATTTTGGTTAAAAAGAACAGTGGGGGCCTATTTATTAGGGGATCCTTCCCTAAGTCTTAAGCATATGAAAAATTTGCATGATATAGAAATGCTAAACAAGATAAATACTTATCCCTTTACATTGTTTATTTTTCTTTTTCATCTTTCAGTGCAACTTCTGTTTCCTCTTCTTTTGTAACAGCACCACCAGGCAGTGATTTAAGAAGATATTTCGCTGATTTTGGCTTTTGACTTTTATTCACCTCTCTTCCTTCCCCTTTCCTCTAACAGTATTTGATAGCACTTCCCATAACTTTATGTCTAAGAAGTTTGATGTGTTCATTCACGTCACCTACTTGTCTCCCAACAAACACACGGAGTTACTGCATTGTTAATTTTACCACTACACACACTGCAATTCCATCTCTTGAGAGCGGAGATTCTATTCTCTAATGTGCAATGCTTCCGGGCAATGAGTTATACCAGAAAGTTCTTAAGGATACTTTTAGATTTCCTGTTTTCACACTTTTGTTTCCTAAGCCCCAAGATTATGTTGCCAACATGACAATAAATCACTGATTTGGCCTATTAGGCTCATCTATTAGTTACTGGTGCAGTATTTGAAGTATATAAAGTTCGCTTACCGTAATCCTGAAAACGAGGTATGTGCAAAATGGCTTCCTGATGGATGAGCATACAGAGCCCTGACATTTTCATGATTTTCATGAGCTGTCCACAATTTAAAGAATACTTCCTTTCTACAAGATGTCAAAAGGAACCACTGAAAGCTCGTGTGCTGACCTTCTTTAAAAGACCAATCATACTCCATTTGCTTTTGTTACAAAAATCATGGATGCACCAGTTCAGGATCTGAAAATTAAGACATTGCAGACCTTCAATCTGCTTTTACTTATCCTTCTTTCTAAAGCCTCAGCCTTTTGCTTTCTAGAGAAGTAAAAGATTCTTAATTGGATGTTGCTTTCAGTAGAAAAGGACTAAGAATTTTTTTTGTATAGAAGCTTCATTCATCCCATCAAACCCAACTCACATAATAACTCAAAAAAATCATTTTTATTTAAAACAAAGAAGTGACAATCAAAGAAAAAAAAAAGGTGTGTTCTAACATGTAATATTGCAGCAACTTTTGCGGCTGCCTTTACAGAGATAGTCACAACACAGTCCTTACGGTCATGTTGTTTCTGACAGCTGACTATACACAACACTAATGAAGCATCTCTGCTTCTCCCAGCTGTTTTCACTGTTTTGTTCCCCTCACTGGGGGGACCAGCTTCAATATAAAAATATTCAGGCTCTCTAGCCTCTCATACCCCAGTTTGTATGTATAACCAGGATTACTTCATCCCAGATGGACAATCCTGAAGTTGCTCTTGTTAAAATTTCATACCCTTGGTGATTGCTGAGCTCTCTAGTCTATCCAGACCTCTGTAAGGCTTCTCTATCCTCAAGGGAGTCCACAGCACCTCCTAGTTTAGTATTATCAGCAAACCTACCTAATGTACTTTTTACTCCTGCATCCAGACCATTTATAAAAGCTTAAAACTGAGGCCTGAGGAGCCCCAACAGTGAACTGGTCACCAGCCTGATGTAGCCCCATTTGCAGTAACTCTTTGAGCTTGAACCATCAGCCAACTGATAATCAATTGTATTGTGGATTTGTCAAGCTGTATGCTGGACTTTTTGTCCTGAAGGACGCTCTAGCACAGCTTTTGATACCGTCTCAAAGTACAAAACTACTACACCTACTGGTTTCCCTTGGCCAACTAGATGGGCAACTTTGTTATGTTAGGAAAGTGAGTCAGTTAAGCAGGACTTTCCCCTCATGAACCCATGTTCATGAACTTCACGGTTTCTCAAGTGTTTTTTAATAACTCACTGAATAACCTTCTCCATAATTTTAACCGGCACTAAAGTGAGTCTGACAGGTCTGTAATTACCAGGGTCTTCTTGAAATCTGGGACATTTGCCAGCTTCCAGTAGAATGGGACCTCTTCCAGATTCCCAAGACCACTGAAAAATAATGCAGAGAGGTTCCATGATAACAGGAGACATTCCACTACCCTGGGATGAATCCCATCAGGTCCCATAGACTGATGCACATCTAGCTGGAGCAGCAAGTCTCGAACAAATTCAGTTGGGCTGGGAGTTTATCATGGCCCCCAGGAACAGTATTCCAATGCAGGAGTCCGGGGGTGACAGAAACAGAGATGACATTAAATGTCTCCACTTTGTCAAGTGTGCTTGTGTATCTGACCCTGCTCAAGACCAGGCGGGCATCACAACTGGTCCAGTCCAGTGCCCCCCCCAGACTGAACACCAGTTAACATCTGGGAAGCTAAAACCAGCCATAAGGACAAGAGCAGTTGATCTAGAGATACTCCTTAGTTCCTTGTAGAACAATTCATTGGTGTCATCATCCTGACTGGGTGGTCAACAGTAGATTCCCACAACATTTGCTTTATTTGCTTTCCCTTTCATGCTTACCTAGGGGCTCTCAACCCCTTGTCATTGCCAAGAGTAAGCGTTATACAGTCCAACCTCCTCTATATACAGCACACTCCCCACTTTGCCTGCCTTGCCTGTCCCTCCTGAGGAGCCTGTAACTATCCATCACGGCACAGCACAGGACACGTCCCACTGGATTTTGCTTAAGCCAATGATCTCATAGCTCTGGGAGTGGCCCAACACTTCTAGCTCCTTCTGTTTGTTCCTTATGCTATGTGCATTACCGTATAATTCAAATGTGCTCCAGTGCACTCACACACCATGGCACGGTGTGAAGGACCTTGCTATCACTCCATCCCTCAAACACTGGAGTGTAGTCACCAGGTTTACCTCTAGCAAGCCTGGATTTATTCCTTGCCCCCTTCAATCTAGTTTAAAACTGTTTCAACAAGCGCTCAGCACCTCTGTGCAAAGATCCTTTTGTCTCTTTGAGACAGTTGTACCCCATCTGTTGCCAGCAGGCCTTGCATCATGTAAACTGACTCGTGATCAAAAAACCCCAAATTTTATGGTGATACCAGTCATGGAGCCGGATGATGGTTCTTGTTTCTTCCCTCATCATTCCCTGCAGCTGGAAGGATAAAGCAGAACGCTGCTCATGCTCTAGATCCCATAGTAACCAGCTGTCCCAAGGCCCTGAAGTCTCTTTTGACAACTCTTGGTCTTCATACTGCAACTTCATTGCTGCCTACATAAAAAAGCTATAATGCATAATAATCCAAAGGCTGTACTAGGGTTGAAAGTTTCCTCACCACATCTCTAACCCAGGCCCCAGGAAAGCTCTAAGAAGTGGGCCTGCTCCCCTCAGAAGAGGGTCTCCTATGAAAATAACTCATCTTTTTTTCTTTCTGGAAGCAGTTTTGATACAGTGCATAGGGCAACCTTAACCTTGGTGACTTCTCCAACATAGACCAACCATCAATCTCATCACTGTTCACTTGCAGAGCCTTGTACCTATCACACAAAGGCACCTGAGAAGGTGTGGTAGTCACAGAGTGTGCCAGCCAGGAACCTCTCACTTTTATAACTACTTCGTGAATAATTTTAAAAACAGCATTAAGCATTTCAAATCAACCTGAATACTCCACATTAAGATGATTACTATTACAGAGTTAATGAATTTAAGGCAGAAAAATATTGTCCTGTGACAGTGTCAAGCTCCTGAATCTAATACATAAAGAAACATGGACAGCACAGACATGGAAGATGAGCTTTTTCACTCACTATTTTGTAATTGGAGATAATTTTAAAATAAACTGAATCATCTTTCATTCTCTTTCAGTGATAAATACATTAAACTTATAAAAGTTGTCCATTTGTATCTAGTCCACCTCACATACCAGAGTAATACACTTGGTGTTTTAAAAACATGTTCTAAGTGAACTCTTTCAATACGCCAAACAGCAGTACTTTCATAGTTCTCCCACACGCGGAAACACAGACGTACCTAAGATCAATTTCAATCTACTTGCTTCCCATAAATTCACTTCTCCCAATTACATGAAAATTTTCCTTCAGAAGTTATGGTATACTATAAATATAGTCTATTTGTTGTTACAAAATTAATTATGCTTTTTGGCAAAATAGTAAATACTTCTAAAATATGCTGCTGTATGAAAATTGTTCAATGTGCATTTCTAACTAAGCTTCCTGAAGATGCAGAAGAGAAAGCTCAAGTCTCCAGTAGGCTACAACTTAAAACTGCAGAGAAGATTGCTAAAATGGGGTTTTATTTTTCCTATTTATTCTAAGACAATACACATTTGCATTTCTTCCTAGGGACTATGTGCTCACTGATGTTCTGAAATGTTTTAATAATTCAAAATACTCTGATTTATCTTTACACCCACACACATCATCAGTGGCTGATTATCAGTGAAATGAAAAAGATAATAAAAATATAAAATGCTAAATAGATGCTTCAGCAGCCACAAAAACATCAACATCTGTTTAAAGTAAACTAATTCTCACTCTTCCTATCTCTCACAGTACAATGGAGAAAAGTGAAAGCAAACTGTAAGCTTTACAAGATAAATTGGGACAGAAACTGACACTCCAGGACTAGAAGAAAGCACAATTTGAACACAATTGATAATACACTCATAGGTCACAATCACTAAGTACAGCAATGCTGTTGAGAGTCACTCAGTTATCTCTGCAACCACAGAATTAGAAAGAGATGCTGTGCAAACCAAATCTTCTAAATTCACTTATATTAGCAGATAAAGACAGCTCATTTTGTAGCTGAAATAGCAAACAACAAGGTCTATTTCATAACTCTTCACTTGGACACCACCCTCATCCATAGTCCTCAGTCCTTCACATTGCAGCATTTCTTCCACACCCAAACGTTGTTCTTCCCTCCTCCGTTTCCCTCCAATGCTGCCCTTCAAACAATGCAACCTCACTACTGCCTTGTTCTGTCCTCTAGACCTGAAATGGTATAATAGTTTCTTAAGAAAGTAACACCCAGAAGAGTCAGAGAGGTATCCACCTGGAGAGGAACTCTTAAAATACTTTTGAGTATTTACTGTTATATTCCCACCGGATGGTCACATTAAGAACCAGTGTAATTTGTCAACTAATGTGCAACACTGAATAAAAGACAGTAACTGATACTGAATTCTAGATCATTCTATGGACAAAGACTCAAAACTGTGGTGCTTTCCAACAGAGACATAATACACTTTCATTTAGATGATACATTTATTAAATTAGAATGAAAAAGTTAATGTACTTTAGAGTGCAAGAAACATAACTGGACACTGGACCTCAATACAGAGAAACAATGTCTTCAGAATAATTACAGCATAAAACATCCTCTGTACGGTATTACATATCAACCAAACAGGCAATAATGTTTATTAAGGGGGGGGGGGGGGAACATTCAGTACCATCAGCAGATGCAAAGAGCAGTAGAGAAGTTGCAAGGATCTAGCTAGACAAAAAATGTTCCTACCTTTAGCAAGTTGAGGCTCTTGGCAGGACTCAAAACTAGTACTAAGAGCACTAACTTTTAGCAGATGCCTGTCTTACACAGCTGGCTTTGGCTCCAAGCTGCTTGAAGCTGTTGAGCAGAGGAGCAGCATCAAACACAGTATTACCCCATTAGCATTTTGTCAAAAGCTACAATCATGAGTGACAATTTATTCATTTAAATAAACAGACTTTCAATTCAAATACCTTAATTTCACAGACCTTAAAATAACTAAACACTCTCTGCATTTTTACATCTCTCTCAAATTCAAACCTGCCAACAAACAGCTTGACTGGAGGGATATGTATGCTGAATAGCTGAGTAGGCTTATGATTTTTGTTCTTTTTAACAAGAGAAAGTAGCACGCCTTGACATAAGAGTTTCAGCTCTAATGTTTAATTAAATAAAAAAAAACCACCTCGGAACAATATTTAAGTATAGTGTAACATACTGAACTCCATTTACTGGCCATACTGCTCCTACATATCCCAATTTTTAACTCATACATGTACCCTGTTTTGCACAACATTTGCCTAGGAAAAAAATACAAACCAAAAGTAAATCTAGGAACAGGAGTCTCTCTCAGAGGCTCAGAGCCCAGTCTATGAATAAACCTGGCTGGCCTAACACTCGCACTTACCCCTCCTGGCAGTTAGGACTGAAAGGTGTTTATTCTGCGCTTGAAATGGAGCTGTAATAGGATGCAGTACAATTTACCAGCCATTATGTTGAACCATGACCACTTGCTTTTATGAAAAGCTGTATTATGAATCCCACCATTTTAATATAAAAATTTAAATATATACATTTTCCCTGAATTGTTCCATCCCTAGCAATTCATGCTATCTGTGTAAAAGTTAGAGCAAGGGACTCTTCACAGAGGTATCTAAGCATTAAATCCTTACCAACATTTACCCTTTTGGGTCAAGATGTCATAAAACACTGTGCTATGAAGACCAAATGCCTCTACACCTACTCAATCACAAAATTTACCATGATTGTAGAGAAGGGGTAAGACTAGTTTCTTGAAGAACACCCATTTTACTTTAGAAAACAAAAGTGTGGTGATTCTACAGGTACAGCACACCAAAACTATAGTTTTGAATATCAAAAGCCAATTGGAGGATGTTTAAAGACATAGGTTTTCAATGGAAAATTTAAGATGTTAAGGGATTCATAACAAAATTTAAAACCATACATTATGAAAAGACAGCTTTAAAAGGTCAGAAACTGGGATGATTTTTGGTGCTGTATTTTAAAAGTTTCAGTACTTTAATGATAAAAAAATAAATATTCATGCTCTACTGACAGTGCTACCTAAAGGCTACTTGAATGTAGGTTTGGGGGAAAAAAATAAAATCAGCTTTCCAACAGATAATAAAGAAAATACTTTAAGCATGGGACATGAAATAACGTATGGGGAAGAAAAGAATATGGGTCATTATTCCTTATTCCAAACCTGGCTTTAATGTTCTCACGAATCACTCGAGACCCTAGATTTCAACTGTACATTCATTTCAACTCTTGAAAATATAAAGGTCTATGGCTATTGTAGAAAGTATTTCAAATCAATTATTAAAGAGATAAAACAGCAACATTGCACATCACTGGAAAAATTAATTGGTGCTTACTATTTAAAGTGCATTACTTTACAAAAACAGACACCGCAGAAATTTATCCAACAGGTGTAACTGGTGCATACTGTAAGATTCTGCAGCTCCTAAATCAACTCTTATTTGAAAAAAATTACACTAACAATAAATACAAACAACCTCCTCTGAGGATCAGACTGTAACTCAGATATGTTAAATTGTCTCTCACAAAGAATTTTATTTCCATCTGCATAATAGTAAATTGACTACAGCAAAAGTAGTCTAACAAGTCACTGAGCAATTTATAATGCCATTCTAAGATCCTGAAGCTACTTTTCATGTTTATTTTAATATTACAGGAAAAAAATATAATAATTTTCCCACTAATGTAAAGCAGTAACTTCGCTGAAATATAGGTGTAAAGAAAGAAGCCTTATAACCAGATCATAGATTTCTTTGTTTTTTAATGTAAGACAATATCTTTAATAATTCTTAACGGCTTCAGTCATTTTCCAGATATAAAAATCCTTCCTTCTGCACTTATCCTTTGAAACAGCCATGGGAATGCAGAAGA